GATTTTTTCTTGCGTTCCCTCCACAGCTGTTCTTAAATCCATTCAATAATTGCATGTCTTGCCCCAAAGTTCATCCGAAGATGGACCCTAATTCCATGCACTTCTCCATTGCTTCAGGATCAAGTGATGCTCCAAAAGACTCGATTGGGTGCCTGGATGTGGCCACAGTGTCCGTTCATCAGTGGCTTCAAAGCGCCTGAAAGGGGCCCGAAATCGGGGACCCTTGCGCACCCTCAAAGACATACTACTTCAACCTCAGCAACACCCCCAAATGCTCCAAACTCCCCTCACAACAAGAAAAAGAGCCGTTTCGAGAGGAGTGATCCAAACTGGAGCCCCAACTCGGCCTTGCCGGGTCCGGTGAACACCGAGGCGCCACAAGGTGGAGTGCTCCACGAAGAAGCCAAAGACGTCCGGCAAGGAGAGGTGCACGAAGGCCTGGTTGGTGTGATTTGTGCCAAGTGACCAGGTGTGTTTCATCGTGGAAAAGGCTCTCTGAAGTGGTGGATTTGTCCGGGCTTGATGGCAAAAACATCAAACACATCAAATGTACAGTGATTGCGGAGTGTACCGATGACAACATACACACACACACATACAAATACGCAATGAACCACATGATCGTGGGATACTTTGACAAGTTTGACGAGTCTGACTGGTGACAAATCAATAGAATATAACACATATTGACACATCCTGTCACCAGCATACTGTTCTTATGCATGTTTGCGCCATGTGATGCCTGTGTGTCTCACGCGTGTCAAGAAGCCTTGTATATAGTGAGTATACTGAGTACACAGACGGGGCAAGGCATGGGGCCTGGGAAATGGACAAATGAAGAGCACATGGAAACCATTCCCCCAATCCGCCGGATATCCAGTTCTATCATGAAGCCATTGAGCAATCACTTTCAATGGGTTGTCAGTACGTCAATGGTCCAACCTCACATGGAAAGTCTTTTATATATAGTTTATATCTGTCTCATGATCATGATTATATGTTGAGTAATCTGATCGCATACTTTCCTCAGGTCCAGCCATTCCCTACCAATCACCTTGACGGAGCTCGGGCTTCTGCTACAGGCTCCAGGTCCCAAAATGTTTCTTCTGTGCGAGTGCCCTATCCCAACCAGAGATTTCATAGATTCTTATCGCTCTCACTCTCTCACACTCAACTCTCGCATCAAGAACGCGCAATAAAGGTCCAATCCTCTGGCACCGGGACCCCCCTGTCGTGGCCTGCCGGTATTCTTCCTGCAACTTCTGCTTGGCTGTCTTCAGCGCCTGATGCGAGGGAAGGCATCAGCAAACCATCCTCCCTCGCAAAAGAAATGATGCTCGATCCACCTGGATCTGGTGAATCACCAAACGTGGAGCCTTGCCAGCAAGCTGAAAAAATGTTCAGAGATGGTAGTAAAAGCAGTTACCCTCCCTGAAGATCTGGAATGCTTTCCGCCAACAGTGGGCAAACTGATGCCCATGCTACATAAGTCTTTCCCTGGTTGTCAGTTTTCACTCTCCAACATCTGGCTTTACTAAGTATGATATGATAGTTATGCTTCGCTCCTTGATTGATCATGATGATCTGACTGCACCACTGCGGAATGCTCTTCCGACTGCCGCCACGCCGCCCGCGGCGCCAAAAAGCGCCGCTCCGCCCGGACGACCCGAGCACCGCACCTTGAGCACTGCCGAGGCGCTCGCAAAGTCCTCAGAGACATCCTGCGAGTTTCGTGATCGGGCCGAATTCGGTCACATGGTGTGGGAGGCACTGGACATGAGATGAGAACGGCTATACATCTAGCATCATCTAGCAGAATGACACGCTCAGCTGCCGTACCTCTAGCAACTGCCGATGCACTGCTGCACAAAAGCTTGAGCGATCTTTGGCTGTCTGTTCAAAGCCTCGGCAAAGCTGGCGCCGTTCCAACATCATATACTTGCTGAAATAATCAGGGAAGTTGAAAATAGATGAAAATAGGCCCTTGGATGACACGTTGCCTCTAGAAACACATGGTTTATGTTATGATTATTCTTCCACATCACTCCCACGGCTGCATCACAGGACGGCCACTCTT